CACGGTACTGAGGGCCCCGGGAGGCCTTAGAGATTATTTTGAAAGGGAGGGTCTGGATTCAGTCCCACCCAAACAATGGCCATGTCCTGAATAAGCGGCGGCGAAAACACATTAAAGAGAGTCCCTCCACAAAACCGAGTGCAACATTTGCTGTTGTAGGAGTTCCGCCAGTTTGAGGTGGTGGGAGTCGTTGTAACGATGGAGCACACTTGTATGGCCTTCGGTCTCTGTGCCTAGAGGGCCTAGCGATTTCAACATAACAACTGTTTCCTTCATATAATTCTGATGTTTGTCCTCGTTCTCCTCGTCCAGTAATCCTGGGGGAATCCTTCAAGGTCTTCAAGGTCCAGTGCGTCAACTGCTTAGTGCTTTGGGTTATGGACTCCTTCCGTATTTCTTATGATACTTCTAATAATTACTTGCATCCCGCACCCTGGCTTTACATCCCACCCCCAATTTTCCACTGACAAAAAATCAGGGGTCTAAGAATCATGAAGACCACTTCTAAAAGGGGAAGACTATGGTTCACAGGGGCCACCTACTGAATAAAGGGGGGCTTTGAGGTCCTAGGGGGGCATCATCAGAAATACAGAGGAAGTAGGGGTCCCCTTGATATCATATATGTTTCGATAGTTTTTCTAAAAGACATCATATAAAAGATGCATGCAACTTTAATGTTTTCATTGCCATTTTGGCCATATTTAGTTTGATTGTAGTTAGATTTCAATGCAATTGTCTCTAACTAAATCTCAATTGGATTTAATTCGATTGCAAATCGGTTCTAATGGGTTTGAATCTATTTTTTTGTTTAGATTTGCAGGGCTTTAAATGGATTTAAATACGATTTTGAATACATTTAACTTCGTTTTGAGTCAAATTAGATCGTGTTGTCATTGGATTAAAAAATGATTTCTAGGCGCTTGTTAATTGGACGTGAATTCGATTTCAACCGGTTCGAAAGGATTTGAAATCGATTCAAAGCGGGTTTAACTGGATTTTGATTCGATTTCAATAGGTTTGAATTGGGTTCGAATTCGATTTCCTTGGTTTGTAGATAAATTTTGTGTAGATTTCGATCGATTTTACATGGACGTAAGCTCGATTTCAAACAAATTTCAATAGGTTTTGAATCGGAATTCAACCGGCTCGTCATTGGATTTAAGGATTTCAATGGGTTTAGTTGGATTTTAAGTCGATTTCAGTTGGTTTAAATTGGATTTCGATTCGACGATTGGGTTTAATTTGATGTTCATTCGGTTTCTGTTAAGTTCTAGATGGGTGTCCATTCGTTTCTCAATAGATATCACTTGCAAGCAATTTGAAAGGGCTTCTAGAGGCAGCTGAATCTGATACTTTCAAGAAATATCCGCCCTGATATTAGATATTTTTTCGGGCCCGGATTATTTAATGGGGGGAGGGAGGGGGGGTTGTCGTTCAATATTAGGGGGGAGCAATGAATTTCTTATCCTTGCCTCATCCTTGTGTAACTCCGCATCTCTGCTTCCTGTTGAACCATAATCCCAAACCCTAAAAGCCGAAGCTGAGAACCAACCCCAAGGCCTACGCCCCAAATGCAGACATAAAGTCTGCTGGTCAAAACACGCCCCACGCAGCTAAGTGAAAAATTCCAAAGCTGTGATCCAACAAATGCACCCTACAGTCCAAACTTCCAAGCTCTCAAACTTGCAAACCTTAAGGTCCTAGCTGCGTTCTTTCTTTTGAACGTGCGTTCCAGGTGCTAATTCGCTCGACCCGGTTCTAGAAAAGCTCCGGCCGGCTAAGCAGGCAAACCCCCAGGGATGACGCAAAATGTCCAAGTGCCGGCACTTAGATTTTGGAGGCTTTCTGGGGGTCTCAGGCTCAGGGCCGTCTTACTATACAAGAGTGAGGGTTCGGGATTTATCACTTAGGGGCTGTGTCTAGCAAAATGTAGGTAAACGGAGCCACAGGGTGCTCAAGGTTGGGAGGTGCGCCTTGGAAAGGATCGGATGGGGAATCCTTGAAGGATTTACGGGAAGAAGTGACAACTTCGTGAGGGTTGATGATCTTTTACTGAGTCAGACGGGGCCTCAACTTCAGATTGTTTGAAGGGATCGCATTGCGATAGTAGGACTATATGCACAAGACTCCCCATGACTCAATGACTAGATTTCTGTGCATCTGTTGGGAGAAATGCCCTAGTCCATGCGAAGCCCCAGGCCCTAAATCTCTTATCTATCAACCATGGTCCCTATTTGAAATAAAAGCCATGGATCCTTATCAAAGGCTGTTTCTGGCGGTGCCTTTCAACTATAGTTCAGGAAGTCCGCGAGCCTCCCATTCTAGCAACTTCGCAAAACCAAAGGATGCCCCAGAGCAGTTGCCTGCAGCAGGCCTTGTTGAAGAGCAAGTTCCAGGAATTAGAAGACGACCAGCAGCCTCCGGAGGTGCCATGTAGATGGTGCATTTCAGGGCTCGAGTAGGCTGGCCTTTCCGGTTCCATACACTTAGCTTCCACGGGCTGGGACCATGTTGACTTTGGATAGGAAAAGGTTGGGCTCAAATTGCTGGGTTGCGCAGTGTCTCTTTAATGTCTTGGCTTGGGACATGCGACTCGAAGCTGCGATGGCCATGAGCCCAGCAAAAAGACGACACGAAGAGCAGGATTCACAAGAGCGAGACATTGCTTCGCCAAGTCTGAAAGCTCGTGGGTTTTTTGTAAGCCATACCCTAAAGCCCAAAGTCTAAACACCACTCCAGTTCAATCCTTTGCAAGAAGGATCCCGTTGAGCCTGCCTCGCTGATTTTCTGGCAGGACGCCGATGGGGCGGACGGAGAAGCCAGGCAATACTCTGAGAGCTCACCGGATAAAGTGGGCCTTTGTTTAAATGATTTGGGCTCTTCCACAAGATGCTCAACTTCGACAATGAAGAAGAACCCAAGAGCACAATCCTGCGACGGCCCCGAATCCCCGAACTAATTGCCATTGTTATCAACTGAAGTAAGTTATTGCTATCACAGGGGTTTAGGGATGAATCCCCTCCTCGCATAGGACTGCTCTTCTCCCAGAATATTGTACGAGACAAGAGTGTTCAGGGCATGTTCATGGCTACGGAGAGGAAGGGCTGCTGTTAGGATTCTGCATAAGCTTTCATATGAGATTCAAACATTGACATGCCAAGCCGTAAAGCCTGAGCTTGCAACCCTGGACCCTCGACCCCGGACACTCAACTCTGAATCTATAAGCTGACGATTTTTTGGCAGACCTGACCTCGACGGCTTCCTCGTCTGCAATGCTGCTGTCTGGAGCTTGTCCTGGAAGGGGGCTGGATTGTTCGTCATTAATACAAATGGGGACGCGAACCTTGAAGAAGACTATATTCAGGAGCATTGCCTTGGAGAAAACCCCATATGATGTGGTGGATGGCTTACGATGCTTCGCGGAAGTTGTGAAGAGTATGTGCTGATGTTCTGTAGGCTGCAGAGGTTGTAAGCAAGCGCCTTGTTTGAGCATCAGCGGAGTCAGGGTGC